CCATTGCACCCAGAATTGCACCATTTGGAGGAGGAGGGCAACTTCTTATACCCAAGAGTCCCTTTATTCCTCAATTCCCTTATTTATTTTTAAATATAGCTTACATTTATTTAGTATTTTTCTATCCACCTGTTTATGTCATGAATGAAATGAGTTTATATTTTTCCTGTGCCAATTTTGACTTTTAAAATAATTTGGCTTGGTTTTTATATTCATCAGTATATGACTTTCCACAAATACCTTTTGCTATTTAAAACTTTTCCATTACACCTGAAGTTATTTGTCTTTTTTTCAGTTTCCATTTTGCATATTTTCCTGGTCTCTTTTTGTGTCAAGGAACTCTGGTGGTGTAGTGGTTAAAATGCTAGGCTGCTCAGCATAGAGTCAGCGATTGGAACTTATTGTTTGTTCTGAGGGCGAAAGATGAGGTAATTTTCTTCTCTAAAGATGTATAGCCTTGGAAACCTGTGGTAGTAGTTCTATGTCCTGCAGGGTGACTGTGACTTTGAACTCACTCTTGTTGATCACTCTTGTCATTCTCACTGCTGTTGAGTAGATTCGAACACTTCATGACCCTGCAGGATAGAACAGAGCTGTTCATGTTTTTGTTAGTGACCCTATATACAATATCCCTGAAATCTGCTCTATCCTGTGCCAACCGTATTGTTTCTGATACGCCTACCCTCATTACCCCAGTCACTGAGTCAATCCATCTCATCCAGGATCTTCCTCTGTTGCGCTCTTCCTCCGCCCTTCTAAGAATGATGTCCCTCTCCAAGGACTGATCCCTCCTTGCACCATTCCCAAAGTATGTCAGAGGAAGCTTCAGAATCCTTACCTCCAAGGAACAGCCTGGTTTTATCCTCTCCAGGACGAACCTGTTTGTTCTGCTAGCAGTCCATGGGATATTCAATACTCTTCTCCAGTACCACAGCTCAAAGACATCAATTTTCTTTCCCTAGTCATTATCCAGCTTTCTGATGCATGGCAAGTAATTGCAAAGACTATGTATGGCCTGCATCCAGGACTGGCATCTACTTCCTAAAAATCATGCTTCTGGAAACTATGAATTGTGAGTAATGGTGATAGTTATAGAAAGGCATTAGGCCTTTTGTTCATAGGGTCGCTATGAGACATGCTCGACTCAATGGCAGTCAACTACATAACAAATGGCCTTGATCAGGTGCACCTTAGTCTCCAGACTGACATCGTTGCTCTTCAATACTCTGGAGAGGTCTCTGACAGCAGACTTTCCCAGTGCAATTCGCCTTTTGATTTCTTGGTTGCTGGTACCAAGAGTGTTGATTGTGGAGCCAAGCAAACTAAAACTGTTAACAATCTAATCTCTTCATTATCTATCATAATGCTGCCAATTGGCCCAGTGGTGATAATCTTTGTTTTCTTGATGCTGAGCTTCAACCCAAGGCTGCAGTCCTTGACCTACTGCAGCAAGTTCTTCAGGTGCTCTTCAGTTTAAGCAATCAGGGTTGTGTCGTCTGCATAATGCAGGTTGTTGATGAGTCTTCCCATAATCCTGATGCCACATTTCTCCTCATAGAGCACAGCCTCCCAGATGATTTGTTCTGCATACAGATTGAAAAGGTATTGAGACAGGACACATCCCTAGCATACACCTTTCCCAATTTTGAATCATGCATTGTTTCCTTGCTCTGTTCCAACAACTGCCCAAGTATATGTTTCGCTTAAGCACAATCAAATATTTTTTTATTCCCATTCTTCTCAGAGTTAGCCACAGTTTTTGTAATCCACACCATCGAAGGTCTTTGCATAGTCAATGAAACACAGATATTCCTCCAGTGTTCTTTGCTTTCACCCAAGATGCATCTAACATTAGCTATAATATCCCTAGTCCCACAGCCTCTTCTAAACCCAGCCTGCAAATCTGGCAGTTCTCTGTTGATGATGTGCTGTTCCAGTAGTTTTGGGATAATTTTCAGCAGAATCTTGCTTGCATATGATATTAATGTTTCTGCTTGATAATTTCTGCATTCAGTCAACTTTCTTTGGAATGGAAGCAAATATAGATCTCTTCCAGCCAGTTGGTCAGGTGGTTGTCCAGATTTCTTGGCACAACTTGGTGAGCATATCCAGAGCAGCATCTGTTTGTTGAAATATGTCAATTGGTATGCCAATCTGCCCATAGGCTTTCCAAAACGGTAAGCTTTTCCAGAAGCAGACTAACTTAATTTTTCTCTTGAGTCCTACCTGGTAGGTTCAAGCCACCAACTTTTTGGTCAGCACCCAAATGCTTAACCACTCACTGCTAGAATACTAGTTTTGCCATAAATTTACATTGTCCGGCTCTCAGATGCATAACAAGTGATTGAAAAGATCACGATCTGAATCAGGCATATTTTAGTCCTCAAACTAACATCATTGCGCTTCAGTAATTTGGAGAGATCCCTGACTGCAGACTTTGGCAGTGCAACACATCTCCTGATCTCCTTATTGTTGGCACAAAGTATATTGATTGTGGATCCAAGCAGGATGAAGTTGTTGACCGTTTCAATCTTTTCTCCATCTATCATGATGTTGCCTATCGGTATAGTGGTGAGAATTTTTGTTTTCTTGACTTTGAGATGCAAACCATATTGAAGGCTGTAGTCTGATTCTCTGTCTTCCTCACTGTCAGCAAGCAAGATTGTGTCATCTGCATACCAGAGATTATTGATGAGTCCCTCTCTGATATTGATGCCCCATTCTTCTTCATAGAGTCCAGCTTCTCGAATAATTTGCTCGCATACAGATTGAGTAGGCCTGGCGTGTGCCTTTCTTAGTTTTAAACCATTTAGTGTTCCTAATGACAACAACAACGTTATTATTATTCTTTTAAGCTAACTTCCTTACTATACAACTACTAGACCTATTGTGTGCTCAGTGCGCTCCCCATCACGTGTTCCTGCTCCACTCCAGCCACACTGGCTTCCGCACTCTACCGTGTCCCAGCTCAGTTGCTTGGGATGGTCTAGCTCATCTTGGTCATGCCGATTTGTTCAGATGTCACCTTCCCAGGCCTTGCCTCCTGCACACCATCTGTCACTATCCCATTTTAGGAGGCCCTTTCCTATTGGAAACTGCCCTTCCTGCTCATATATTTGACTGTTGACTTGGTTGTGCTCCTCTTCTTCCAGCAAAGTGATGCCCTCCATGAGGGCAAGGACCTTGTATGCTTTGTTCACTGCTCTGTCCTCAGCATCCAGGACATAATAGGTGCTCAGATGAGTCTTAGTTGATGTGAATGGCATTGGACAGTTGGATATTGAGTAGGGTCGCTTGTAGGTTGGCATCATCTCTGCTTTTCTATCCAGAGGCGGGGGGGGCTGTCTGGTCTGATAAGTGGTCTCTAGGGGTGGGAATGCTCTTGGCATTGGCCACGTGGGTGCCACTTTTATGATGAGGCACCCCAGTTCTCTTGCCCACTGGAACTTTCCCCCACCCTTAGTTTCAAGAGGACCTGAGATTCTAGGCATGAAATTTCTTGGCCAAGATTGAATCGAAATGCTTCCTTCACAAGCTCACTCACCGATTCATTGCTATTGAGTCATTTCTGACTGAGAGTGACTACCCACTGCGTTTCTGAGAATGTTAATTGCACTAAGAAGAGACAGTCCATCTTTCTCTCAAGGAGCTGCTGGTGGATTTGAACTGCCAGAGAAGCGTGACCTTTGAATTGGCAGTGTAATTTTCTATGGATTATGGCACCAGAGCTCTTTAATGATTTCTTCTTGTTGTTTATTATTGAGTCCGAACCAACCCATAGGTGACCCTGATGATTTCTTAGGAGGCTAAATTCTGAAATTCTATATCAGCTCAGGTCAGTATGTCCATCCCCTCATCATCATTTTGGGCAAGAGATTAAGGCAGAGGGCAGACACGTAGGAAATGATGTCTTCTGTTGTGGACAGAGGAAGAGAACGCAGGTCACAGACATTGATCAGCTCCAGAGGAGCAGTGGGTGGGATTGTGGGAAACCTGGGCAGTGTAGCACCCAGTGAAGAGGAGAGGACCCTGGAGTACCAGGGATATGAAGGTGCATGGGCTGGAAGTGGGGAAAAGACTCAGAACGTGTGTGGGAGAACATGGGCTGGGAGAAGGGGATGGTGCAGGAGGGTCCGTGCTGCCCCTCCATGTCCTCTCAGGTGGCTTGGGTCTCAGCCACAGGAGGCAGCAGCAGCGTAAGCCTCACCTCTGCCTGGAGTCTACTTTGGTTGGGGCACAAAGTGTTCTGTGGCTGGGAGAATTGGGGGCTGCCCTGCTAAGTGGCTGTGGAACCCATGCAGGCCCCTGGCTCTCTGAGGAGGGAAGGGGCTTCCCTATGACTTTGTCCACTCTGACCTGTTTGGACTGTACCTGGGGGTGGGGGAAGAGTTGGGTGAGAGTAGGAATGAGCAGCCAAAACCTGGGCTCCACTTCCTCTGAGCTGGGCAGGAGAAAGAATCTGAGCCCAGAGGGAGCTGTGGGGATAGGATCTGTTGAATGGTAACAAGGGATGGAAGGCATGACCCCCCAGGAACCCTCTGGATAGCCCTGTCCATATTCCTGAACCATCTCAGCCACCTGGGGATGCTCCCTGGGCTGGGAGTTTGTAGCATTTTATATAAATGGAGGCCCCCAGCGGCTTGCTCTGTGTGTGTGAGAGAAGGGAGAGAAAATGGGGGTATGAGTGTGCTATTGGGGAGGTGTTCCAGGAACCTTCCTGTTGCAGAACCTAAGCCCAATGGGCAGGCCTGGGGCTGGACAAGACCCCAGGCTGGAGCCATCAGCTGACCGAGCAGCTCCTGGCCACTCCCCCAGCCTCTTTGTACTTTTCCTCTTTATCAAGTGGGAGAAGGGGCAATACCTGTGGGGTGGGTGGTCTCAAGGCTTGGGAACAGGAGGGAGGTGTGTGTGCAGGTCCCAGTACTGGCCTGTCAGGCAGTATAGCTGTATGAAACGGGGGTGCCAGCCCGCCCCCATCAGCAGCCCCTCTCGCCCCTCAGATCCCTCAGATCAGCTACGCCTCCACAGCCCCTGACCTGAGCGACAACAGCCGCTACGACTTCTTCTCCCGTGTGGTGCCCTCGGACACGTACCAGGCCCAGGCCATGGTGGACATCGTCCGCGCCCTCAAGTGGAACTACGTGTCCACGCTGGCCTCGGAGGGCAGCTACGGCGAGAGTGGCGTGGAGGCCTTCATCCAGAAGTCCCGCGAGGATGGTGAGTCAGGCGTGGGCCTTCGGGGTCATGCTTGGGGCAGGGGATATTTCCCTGATGGTTGTGACGTGGCCCAGTGCACTGAGCCCTGGCCGAGAGCCACCATCAGACTCTGCTTTGGACCCTGCCTTCCTTGGGCCATTTACCTTCTTGACCTCTAGGCACTGGGGACCTGGCTCTAAGGGTGGGCGGGGGTCTCCTATGGGTGGTAGATAGGAATCTTTCTCAAACACCGTTTAGGCGACTGTCTGTACCTTGAGTGTAGAAGCCAGTGGGACAGCTGCTATGCTCCGGGGTAGAGGATGAGATGGAGGTGGTCTTCTCTGAAGGGGTCTTGGAAATGGGCAGGCAGTCTGGCAGGTTCTGGGGTCTAGGACAGTGGAGCAAGGTTATTTGAGGGGTTGGATGGAGCTGCCTGTGGGGATGAAGCCTGGTCTCCATTTGGGTAGAGCTGAGCTGCTCCCGCCTTCTGTGAAGTGGGCCCTCTGTAGTATGAGGAAATTTGGGGAAGCCATCTCATTTGATATCCTGAGGTCTCCCCCACTTATAACTCTCCCCCCATTAAGTTCACATTATTGCTGTCCTCCAAGGTGCCTGATAAAGCTGTTAGGTATCACCCAAGCGATAAGAGGCCAGCTCCAATAACTGATAAAGAGGTTCCCACTCAGCAGACACCAGCCCAGGAGCTTTGCATGGCCCTGGAGCCTGGGCTGGTGAGCGGTCAGTGTTGATGGTGATGGTATAGGTACAGTGGGAGGGCTGGGGGTCATGCTGGGGCAGCCAGGGGCAGCAGGCAGGCCCTTGGGTTGGGTACCTCCACCTGGGGGGATGGAGCTTGTCAAGCGGTGAGGGCTTATTGAGGCCAGTGCCGTGGAGCAGAGGGATGGGACATGGGGCTTCTTTGGGGCATCTGCTGTGGATATCAGGGGAGGGAGGGAGACCTTTCCCTTCCTGGCCCATCCACCTCCCTGCAGAGAGAGTCCCTCTTCCCATCTTCTGGCCTCTCCCAAGGAGGCCTCTCCCTGTCTCTAAATAGCTCACAGAGGCGCCCTCGACCTTGGGTGAGTGGCGACTGTATATTCATACCCGAACAGCCCCAGGATTCTAATTGCTTTTCCTAAGGACCACATAGTGTCCAGAGGCTGGCTTGATAACACCCTGTAGGCATAATCCTGCTATAAATCTCAGATAAGCCCCTTTAATTGTACGGCTTGGGTTCCTGTGGCCAGGTGGAGGGGGGCCGTGGGGAGGCAGGAAGTGGGACAGCACTGAGAGATGGCTCCCAGCCACTCCTTGCCCCAGCAGCAAGGCCTTGGCAGAAGGAAGTAGGCTGAATGGGTGTGTGTGTGGGGTCATCGCCTTGGACCCCAAGGCCACAGACTCCACCTTCTGGCTGCACACGAGTCCTTGCTTCCTCTCTATATACTAGCACGCTGTGCCCTGCTCTGTTGGCTCCTCTCATCCTCAGTGGTTTGAACCCTGCCCCAAACAAGCCCACAGTTGGAAGAGTAGCCACTGCAGGGCTTGGGCACAAAGAGACTGGATGTAGGACCAGAATCCTAGAAGGTTTTTTTTGTTTTTAATTTTTTAAAAATTTTATTATTTGTGTGTGTGTGTGTACCATCAAATTGGATCTGACTGGTACAGGAGGAGATTGCTCCTACTTCTCCAGCAGAGCATCTGGTGGATTCGAATTGCTTACCTCTGGGATTGTGGTGCGGATTCTTGCCAGAATCCTAGAGTTGAGTTGTGTTTAGCTCCTGTCTTAATGGACCCAGAACCGAACCCAGTACTTATATCAAACCCACTGCCTTCACATTGATGCTCCATGAGACATTGAGTGATCCTGTGGTGCAGTGAAGAGCTTACATAGTGTAGCCCTCCCTGTGTGCCAGCACCGTGCTCGTGTTACATCATTGTCCCATGTGAGCCTAGGCACTTCTCCATGCCCATTTGATAGGGCAGGAAACTGAGACTGAATAACTGTTACCAAGTTATGCAGCACATCAGAGGTGGAGAAGGGATTTGAATCTAGACAGCTGGGCTCCAGGACCCAGATCTTAACAGCTTTTTGTATTTTTTTTTGTCTGTTCTGTCTTCACTCATTTCCCCCATCTTGACTGAGACCCACTCGAGAGGGTCCCTGTGTGGTGCAGTGGTTAATATGCTCAGCTGCTACCTAAAAGGTTGGAAGTTGAAGTCCACCAACAAGTACTTCAGAAGAAAGTCGTGGTGGTTTCCTTCCAAAAAGTCAGCCATTGAAACCCTGTGGAATGCAATTCTAGATGACGTGAATGAGGTCTTCACACTTCAGTCACCTTGATGTCGACTGGTTGACAGAGACACACACTGCTCAGTCCCTTTGTGGGTGTGAGGGGTGCAGCTGTCTCACTCTGAGACACCCTCAGGGACATGTGCTAAGGTGTTAAGAACAAGAGAGGCAGATTGGCGTTGCATTGGGGCATTGTTTTTTTTTTTTTTAAAGTTCCCTTTCTATTGTCTGAATTTTTAATAAGCACCAGCTCAGGTGTTTGGTTGTTAGAAAAAGTCAGTCTACTCATGATTTCAGACAATAAGCTGAGAGTCTAGTAAATGTGATAGCCACTGCCAGCGTACCATCTCCTGTGGCAGAGGCCCTCCCTCTGTCACCGTGTATCAGGCGTGCCCGCCCCCAAGGCCCTGGCCGGGCTTTCCCCTGTGTGTGGACGGTGAGGCCTCCTGCCCCACCTGCTAAATGAAATTTGATTTGGAGGAACGTCTTTAGGCAGTGAAAAGTAAAGGAGAGAGAAATCCGTGCTCCAGCTGGCCAAATTGAAATCAGAATTGAGCGGCCAGTAGAAAGAGGCCGCTGTACCTTGTAGCCTAATCCCTGCAAAAGATTAAAGATGTCTTTGGCCGTATATTGTATTGATTTGTCCTCTGAAGTATGAATTATCTGTGAGTTGTGAAGAGGAGCACTCGTGGAGGGAGGGCACACGCGCCAGGCCGGGGCCGGACCTGAGAGCCAGGGGGACCTCAGTCAGCAGGTCCAGGCTGCTTACTGTGGAGGCTGAAAAGAAGCATGGATGTGCCCATTGTTTAGATGAGAAAACTAAGGTCCAAGAGGGTCGGTCACTTTCCCATAGCTACACAGTTAGAACATGAAACAGCTGTGTCTGGCACCCAGCTCTGTACGCCAGGTGGGAAGACTTAATCTAGCACCTGACCCGGACATTACTAAACATTTTAGAGTTCTGTTGAGAAATAGCCAGTGAGATCTATGTGTGAGAGATTGCTGCTATTGTAGGTGCCTTTGAGTACAACTCATAACAACCCTATGACCTTTGCCCTGTCCTGGCACCACCCTCACCATCTCTGATATGCACAAGCCTGTGTCAGTCCATTTTGTTGGGAGGCCTCCTCTCTTCCTCTGACCAGGCATGATGTCCTTTCCCAAGAACTGGCCCTTCCTGACAACATGGCCAGAGTAAGTTAGACGAAGTGTCACCATCCTAGCCTCTAAGGAGCACCCTATGCACTTCCTCCAAGTGCACATATATACGTGGAGAAAGAGGAAGGGAGAGGGACTTCACTTCGAAGGATTAGCTCACCAGATTGTGGAGGCCAGCAAGACGAACATCTGGAGACTTCCACAGGTTTGCATCCCAAGATCCACAGGGTAGGCCACAAAAAGAGTGAAGAAAGAGAAAGTGCTGCCCAAATACCTGTTTCTAGTCTAAAGAACACATCTTAGGGAAATTCCATTTTCAGCTGATTGATGGTATTACGTTACATTATACTGCATTATAGAACAGCCTCTAGTCTAGGATTTGGCCAAACCTCCAGGACAACCATAGTGTAGTCAAGCTGACACATAAAATTAACCATCACAGGAAGCTCGAGTAAGAAGTAGAATCTTAGCCACTGGGAGTGACAGGCATTTCTGGGGCTGATTGTGACCCAAGTCTTGAAGGTCACTTAGGATCCTGGGAAAGTCATTCAGCTATTCTTAACTTCAGTATTCTCATCTGTGAAATAGGAATAAAATCGCCTCAACCATATGGACCTGTCAGTATGACGTGAGCTCCTGGTGCATGGAAGAGGGAGCTCAGGAATGCCCATTGGAAGGTCATGTTCTGAGATTCAGCTATTTGGGCCACAGCTCTCCCTGGTGTTCACTCATTCCTGGAGAAGCCCAAGGAGTGCTGGGAGGCACTGGGGGGCCATCCAGTGGCCTAACTCAGGCCATGAAGCTGTGCCCACTGTCCGGGCTGGGGACAAACCCACAGGGGTGAAGGTTAACTGCAAGTGAGAAGCGGGCCCTCTGGTTCTTAATGGCATCTCTGACCCGATGGTGACAGAGGAGCAATGCCAGTTCCAAAGGTGGCCAGAGCCAATGTGTGCAGATGCATATATGTGGATCTTGAACTGTGGCTGTCAGACCTCAGGAGGGGCATCTGTGTGTGTCCTGGAGAGTGTCTGGGACTGTTCAATAATGTGTGTGCCTGTCTGCTTGTGTAAGGTCTATGGTACATCTCCCATTTCTGTGTGTGTGTCTCCCCATCTGTGCAAGTACGTGCTCATGGGGGTTGTGCTCACGAGGGACGTGTGGGGTGCACTCTTGCACCTTCGGGCTGCAGCCGAGACTCCCTCCTCCGAGCCACTGCTGAGGCTGCCCAAGGGAGAGATGAGGAGCCTGCCCTTCCCACCGGCCCCACGGCAGCACAACCAGGGCTGGGATTAGACATGCAGAGCGGGCCCTGCCTGGGCTCCAGAGATAATGCGTGAGTCACTGAGGAGGGAGACAGGTGGTGAGGGGGTGGTGCAGACTTGACAGTGCCCTCTGGTACCTCCCACCCTCCGTCCTGGGTGCTCTCAGGGCATGGGGTCTGCAGTGCAGACGTTTACATTCCTACATGGGGTTCTCTGTGAGCCTCAGTTTACCTGCATTATTATCACCATTTTACAGATGGGAAGTGGAGCTCAGGGAAGGTAAGCTATCTGTTTAAGGCCATGTGGAAGTA